AAAAAAAAAAAAAAAAAAAAAAAGCACTGAAACCAGCATCAAAAATTAGTGCTTTACTTGGCATTTACCAGCCTTACTATTAATGAGCCTTCCACATAGTCCAGAATGAGAAATCTTCATCTGAGTACCAGCAAAGTTCATAGGTTTGATGTACTTCTAAAAGAACTCCCTCTCTGAGAGGAAAATTATTAGTGACCATAATTATTCTCACAGCTTCCATTTTGGTAATGGTTCATACCACTACTACACTTCAAATACCTGATAGTGTTCTGAAATTTTTAGTTATTTCCTTATTAATCAGATTTTGTTGGTTTTCTTAATTCTACATCTGTCCACAATAAATGAATTAAGAAGCTACTCAGCTTTAGTTTTAGGTTGTATGTTTTGTGTTACTTCAACAAAAATACACAACAGCTTAAGAATATATAAAAGGGCACACATCAAAAGAACATTTACGGAGATGCTTGACTTGGAACATGCTGGTCAAAGCATGTTCAAAAAAGATGAAGAAACATGTAATTCTCTACAGGTGGTAGAGGCAAACAATCACAGTTTGATGAGAATTATTAACTGACTGTTCAGCTAGAATGTGGTAACTGGTACTTCTGAGCCCTTTAGCACAGCCTTTGAGTGAACACAAATACAGGCCTATATTAAGAGATGTGGTATCATTAAAAAAAGAAAGAGCCATTTTTTTCCAGGAGATTGGTAGAAGTTTTTTTGAGGAAACTTAAGTACTTCTGTTTGCATAATCTGTAGTTTGAGCCATATTCTTTTATCTTTAAAATGTACTGAAGATTGAATAAAGGAGAAGACATACATTGAGTTTCTGAATGCATAAATTCCTTTATTGAAAATATTGTGATAGCACTGCATTACATATATTCAATATTCATAGTTTCAAGGGTCACAGAATTTTGATTGAACAACACTGTTTTGAATATAGAACACAGCGTTTAGATATCCTCTGACAAATATAATATGAGGGAATAAGGTGTAGGTAACGAGTGAAACGCATGTAAAATGTGAGCATGGTGATGGTGGKTTTTTTTTTTATTCTTTTTTTTTTTTTTTTTTTTGAACTGGGAAGTGGTGTGCCACCAATAGAAAGAGCAAACAGCATTAGATATCCCTGGTATCTTCAAAGCATTATGCTGCTAGCAACCTCCAAAACACTTTACAGCATTGCCAATAAGAACTGTATTCACGGCTGTATCAGACCACCGGGAAGGAAAGTGTGAGAAGCCCACGTGCAGCGTGATACACACTTACTGTATAGCATTGGCTTTAGGCTGTGAAATTTCTACGCAGGATTAAGATTTGTTGTTGTTCTTGAAAGAAAACTGCTCATCTTTTTTACTATTTTTGAATATATTCCAAAGGGGAAAAGCAGGAACTAAATTGAGTTGTATTACTCAATTACTAATATCCCAAAATTAGGCAGTACTGCTTAAAGGAAGCATGTTGCCATTTCTACAACCTGCCTTTTTCAGGACAACGATGCTCTGGGTTTTAAGGGTAGGACAAAACATCCTAGTGCTGCTAGAAAGTCTATATTGGCAGGCTTGGAATTGTTTCAACATTTGTTTAAACTATAGCTTAATTGCAAAGCAGAATGCTTCAGAAAACGAGCTTCAGTTACATTTTTCCCTAGATGCTGAAACTTCCACAGCACTGACCTGTTTTAGAGTTCAGCCTAGCTTTATAACACAGCATCTTCTTAGTGTTGAGGGGGGGGAAAGGAAAAAGTGACAAGTACTTCACAAAAAACAAAAATATTTAGTTGCCTGTCATATCCTAAAGCAGCCTGTTGCTTCAAGTCTTTCTCGGGAAGAAAATCATTTATTAATTCCTACAGAAGCAGGTATTACACCACCATGACCCGGACAGTTAGGGAAACAACGCTCTTCTCTGCATCTCCAGATCCAGATATTTTCCCCTGAACAAAAAAGATATCCTTCGATTTCCAAAGAAGGGCTCAAAAAAGCACGGGGGGTGGCTTGTTTTGAATGACTTGGTGGTGCCACAGAGACCCATCTCCCATGGGAAGGGCTTGAGTGAGTGCCCTGGACAGGGCCAGGACGGCCGCTCAGTGAGTGCTGCTGTGCCCTCCGGCTGCCGCTGCCAGAGGATCGGGCACAGCACCGCTGGGAAGCATGATCTCCCCTTCCCTCAGGGCACAGAAAAACGGGATTAAGCACTCACGTGTCTCTGACGGAAAACACACCCTCTGAGGAGGGCAAAGTGGAAAGCAAATCTCATGTACAAAATGAAAATATAAAAGCTAACTTCAGAAATCAAATAGATCGATTCGCAATAAATGCCAACGCATATGAAACCTACCTGAATAACAACTGTTTATCAAATGGATATTTGAAAACCTAAAAGAAAAACTCAGGCATTACAAAAAAAAAAAAAGCTATACAATAACAATAAATAAAAAGACCTTAAAAACATGTTCCCTTAAGTGCTGTGTACACCTTCAGACTTTTTTCCATGGCAAACAGTATGCTGTAGATTTTGGTAACGCAACCTTTTATTTTTGGTTCGCATTTATATGTTGAACATAAATATACACGGAATGTACTAGATAGTTACAGCTTTCCCACAGTATCTTTTTCACAGTTACAGGAAAAGTTTTCACCTCATACACCGTGAATGTTTTCATAAGCAACATATCATCGATGGAGACGCGTGAGAGGAGGAAGTAAAAAACACCTCAAGTTGATATTCACTGTCCTGTCTCTTCCTGCCTCTCACAACAGATGTTCTTTTGTTGGCRTAGTCATGCTCCAGTACAACTTGAGAAAAAAAAGCGGGTAACGTTGTGAGGCAGCCTGCACCTTCTCTTCAGCGCTTAAGTGCCTAACGGATCCAGTCCTTAAGGCAGTCAGTAATTCATTCAAATGTCCATACTTCCACGTCTTGTATTATGAAATCTTCTTTCTTAGATAAGATGTCATTATTGAAGGTGCTGCAGGAATTGCTTCGTCCGTGATACAAATCTGCATCTAACCATAAACCAAACCGGCCACTAAAAAGGAAATACGAAGAAAATTTTAAGTTTGTAATTAAACAATCAAATCGACATCCATGTGCAATCTCTCTAATTACTCAGGCTAACAGTATAATTAGTCACTTACATCCTTTGTTAAGACTTTCTAAACAAAAACCTCTCCTCTCCCCAGCCAAAACCACCGGGAGCAAGCAGACTGGAAGCTTTAGAAACAACCTGAGGGGCACCATGGAAAGATTTAGGTAATTCTGAGRAGAACTGAGGCTGAACGGGACAGCACCTGCAAGGCGGCCTCCTTGCTTTGGTTTATAGCAGTAAGTGACGGGCCCACGGGCTCGTGTTCCCGAGGCACTGGGTGGTCGGCAAAGCCAGACCTGGCTGCTGCCGCCTGGGGTCGCAGCCCCTGCCCTGAAATCAGCCCKGCGTTTCACACCCACTGTCCTTGGAGAGTGAGGGCCCGATTAAGCAGTGCCTGTATCACTGTTCTGCACAACGGCAGAAAAATGACACTTCAATAAACACCCGGGGGGAAACACGAGAAGCTGATGGCGAAACCGCCGTTAAGAGATATATACTTGAAAAACTTTTAAACGGTAACCCAAGTATCTATCCAAAACATCTGCTTTTTTTTCAACTTAAAAACAAAACAAAAGACCCTGCCCAACATCAGTTACTCTCCTTAGGCCTTAGCAATTGCTGTAACTGTCTGTAACAGTAATAAGGAGTTCACTGAAAACATCAGCTACAAGATTTCARAAGCAAACACTCACCCTCCGCCCCCGAGTTCCAGGGAGCTCATGTCTCCATTGATGAAGTAGGTGTTCTCGCCACTCCATTTAAATACCTGAGGGGGAAGAAAAATACTCTGTGTGTACTTATATATTTTGTGTGTGTCTGTGTGTATGTATATGTATATATAATATATAAAAATATACATATTTAAACACACATACATATACTTGATTGTGAGGAGGAGTACTACTAGCTCCTTAGGGGATATTTTTGGATACATTTTTTCAAAAGGGAAAGAAGAAGAGTTAGTAGAGAATAAACAAACAATACAAATCTAAAATTATGATTTTTTTCTAATCCTTTTTAAAAGTATACTTGCACCTCCAAGCCAATAACTATTTTGTCCAAAAGAAAGGAAGAAAGCATCAATGTACTCGATACCCACAAACAGGAGGGGTGTCTTTCATTAAGGGGTATTTCAAAGGTACTCTTATCTCTGCTTTATTGCCACTGTGATCCTAAGCACCTGTGAAGTTGAACCTTACTCCTGATATCGATCACTACTTACCAAGATTAATTTTTGACAGTCCATTCATTACTCCTATGCCCTCTCATCTCAATTTCCTTAAAACGTCTGCACCCTCTCWGACTAAGCATGCCAAACCGCTAAAGCAACTTTTGCTTACAGTTCCACTGCAACAATGAGGTAATTCATCAATAAATCAACAAACCTTCTAAAATTAAATATGCAGTCTTTGTATTTTTACAAATGCTTCAGAATTGGAACAAAAAAAAATCTTATTTGAGAAAGACCACATCACTTACCTTGAAATTGGGACTGAATGTGTAGAGGAATGTTTCGCCTGTGCCATAGTAGTGGTCACTAAACCTGAAAGGATGTGTAGCATATGCTCCAAATATCTGTCAGAATAAAATGATTAAGCTATTTTGAGGGCAATGCAAAATTTAAAAGGGATAAACTTCCAACATACTTTCTGAAGATTAAAGGTGCTGGTGTTTCACACTAAGAGAACTAGTAAGGGAAGTGTGTCAGATTAGCAAGCATCCCTGCAAATCTTTTGTATCCTTTTAAGTTTAAAAGCCTCGTAAGAGGCTTTTAAGAACAGAAATGAGGCCTCCAGGAGCTACTAGAGGACTACACCTCCTCAGAAGCACATTTGTACCAGCTTAACTGAGTTATGTGAGGAAGTTATTTTAGTGGTCACTATTAGGAGGTGCATTCATTGCTCTTGTGAAGCTGCGGGAGTTCCAGTTCTGCCAGTTCTCATATACTTTCTCGCCTGTCAGTTTAGTTTAACCAGTAGAGAGCAGAGAGAATAAAACAAAACTAAACAAATCAGAAACCCAGCACTTCACTCATTTTCTTCAGTGCTGCCCTTCCGGTGCGACCCCGCCAACCCGCGCGCTGCCTACCTGGTTGTCCATGTCCTTGACGACGAGCAGAACGGGACTGTCGAGGGCTGCCGATCGGCGGTACAGGGTCTTGAGGCTGGTGCCGTGCTCCAGGGTGCTGTACGCCAGCCGCCACGGGTAGCCCTGCACCCTGGCCGGCAGGCGCCGGGCGAGCTGCCCAACACACAGGCACGCAGAGACACGGTCAGGGCCCGAACGGCGCGCGCAGCTCTGTACTCTGAGCCCTAGCGACTGCACTGGTGTCAACTGGAAGGGCCCCCCTTCTCCTTGCACTCCAAGAGATCTCAACATCACTACACAAACTCTCCAGAGTTGCAAAACTAAATGTTTCAAATAAGCCAGCTCTAAAGGAAACATAACCTCGCACAAGGCCGTCCCACAAACAAAGCGTTTCCCAGGCTGCGAGGAAGCGCCCGTATCAGCCCCTGCTCACACGCAGCTCACAGAGCACAGGAGCAAACAGGGAAACGGCCTTTCTTCGTGGCCATACCTGCTCTATGTGCATGTTCTCCAGGAGGGCACTGTGGTGCTTTAGGACAGGTAAAGTGTCATCGTCTTCTTCTTCATAGTAACTGCAAACGCTCTTTCGTCTTTTGGCTTCTTCCACAGTAATGATCTGGGGAAAGAGAAACAGGCACGGACCTAAAGCACAGCTCTCATTTTGTCAATCCTCTACTGAGAAAACTGACTTAAAACAACATACTCCTTAGCTACCATACCTTGTGAAACACAAACACTGTATGGAATAGAAATATCGAGCACAGGCACCCTGAATTGAACATGGTTAAATTTCCAATAGCAAAGTGTCTTTGAGACAGCATGGGCAGCGTGGTCAGAATTGCTTCCTRTCCTAGCCACTTCTAACACAGAGGCTTCCTCATTTTCAGCAAGCAGCAAGTTGAGTATATTAATTATTTTCCTAGCTGCTAGTGAGTAAGAATATGAACAACTTTAAAATTCACCTCCCATTTTTGTTAGGATGACAGCTTTTTTTCTGTTTTTATTCACCTACATGAGCGTGTTTTTGTGTATATGAACTGAAACAGAAGCCATATATGAAAGAGCTTAAAAAAGGAAAATCAATTTGAGTAAGTATTGGAAGTTTTATCATGTAGGAAAGCTACCGAGCAGTGCATTCAGCACGCAGTTTACATTCATAAGTTCTTTAAAGTATTCATTCTGGGAAGAGTAAAGCTGTTTATAAAATACGTTCTCAGGTGGGAACAGTTAAGGCAGGAGGGCAGCTCCCAGGCTGCAGCCTTCCTGTGCGCCCAGCCCAAACACGGGATTCGGTGGAAGCACGGAGACGCAGAGAGAGCTCGGAGACGTGAGGCTGATGAGAAAGAAAAGGGGCAGCCAAGATGCCCAGCTACCAGAGAACTGGGACACGTGAAAGCACCCTCCCTGCATGAGCACGATGCCACAAGGCGCTCGTGGAGGAYGGGAACCTCGGCTCGTGGCTGCGGAGCGTCCTGCCCCGCTTCCCCCTCCACTCCTACAGACGGAGCTTCACGCCATTTCCACGGCGCAGAGAGGGGCAGCTTTGTACAAACCACGGGCCCCTTCGCATCACTGCTCAAGCCTGCAGAAGCTGTGGCCAGCCCGGGCAGCTCCCAAGAGCGCAGGGAGCTCCTACCAACCTGCTCCACAGGCAAAGCAGGGCAAAGCCGCTGGAGAGATCCCAGGAGTCCCCACTCCTCAGCTCCTCAGGGGGGACTCAGCTGCCACGAGCACGCGGAGCTGCGAGGAGGTCGCTGCGCACAGGACAGAGCCCTGATGGTGTCGGTCACACCGCGGAAGGACGGCAGCAACGGGTGCCACCGACACCCACACCCTGCCCGTGCTGATGGGCAGTGACGGAGCGCAAGGCGGGCAGCAGCGCAGGCCAGGGCCGCGGGCAACCCCAACCGCAGGCGCCCCCGAGCCCGGGCACCACGGACACCTCTGCCCGGCTGCTCCCTGTCCCTGCAGCACAACCGGGCGCAGGGCACCTGCTCCAGCGTCACCCGAGACACCAGGGAAACCTGCGCTACCCAAAGGACCACACTGCCACTTTCAGGGAAGACTGCGCTGTAGGATTCAGGCCACTGAGAACTGCTGAAAAGGATGTGGGTTTTATGCTTTTATCGTAATTTTTCCACTCTTGAGTGATTTTACCTTCCTCCTTTCTCAGATCATCATTTTAATTTTTTTAATTGATTGAGAATCTCTTTTCAAGCTTGAATCAGAAGTTTCCAACTCTCCTAAGAAGACTGTTCTCTAGGCTTCCGAGACAACAGAAAGAAAAAAAGCATCACACTAAATCAACCAGCAACAGYTACCTGAAGCAAAATGTAACTGAGTTTACAGACTGGACAACTACAAAAAATCTATTTAAAACAATCACAGATTGCAAATTAATTCTAAATTGCCCTTATTCATACCTAAAAGGAAGAAAGTTAACTAATCTTCTTCACTGCACAAGTATCTGTTCGGTCTAAACTTTATCAAGGCAGCTCTTTTCACTACAACTGAAGCACATGTTTGAAACAACTTCAGATTCAAAAACTGCAGCAAAAGGATCTGCAAGGCAGGATATCTACACAGGCAAAAGCAAAAACAGATGAAAAGAACCAGCTATGACAGAACCAGAGTTAAGAAACCTTGTTAAGATTTTTCAGTATTTTCCTCTAGAGAAACAAAGCAGCAGGCTACCTCAGAGAGAAATATTCAATGAAAATGCTCTAGGTGACCCTGCGTGTGCAGGGGGCTTGGACTAGATGATCCCTACAGGTCCCTTCCAACCTTGAAGATTCTATGAAAATCAAAATTCACCGCCGAGTTCCCTCTTTCCCGGGAAATGCTGCGCCGGGTCCCTGCCGTGCCGCAGGGAGGGACGTGGTGACCGTACCTGCACGTAGGGCTCCTGGCCGGGCCGGGCACAGTACAGGATGCGCACGCTGTGGGGCCCCCGCGGCGCTCCCATGGCCCGCTCGCCGCGGCCGCTCCGCAGGCCGCTCCGCAGGCGGCTCCGCAGGCGGCTCCGCAGGCTCCTCGCTCGGCCGCAGCAGCTCCCGTCCGCAGGCAGCGCCGCGCTGGCTGCCGGCAACGCAGTGCGCCCCGCACGGTCCCGTCCTTATGCCCCTGCCGTCACACTTTCCGTTTCCCCAGGGGGCAGAGAGAAACTTTCGGAAATGTGCACGCCCAAATTTGGCCTTCCTACAGATACTTCCTTGCAGACCTACTTTCAGTTTGAAAGCCAGTTATATTCTGAAATAAAGGTATATTCTGAAAGCCAGAATATCATATGAGAGGCACACACACCTCTACAGGCATTCCCAGCTGCTACTTCTCCTAACACAGATTTAAATAAAGCAGWGAGAGACACGTTCACCACGTGGCTGGATCTCTCCCACCTCTGCTCTCCAGCTTACTGCCCCTCCTCCCTCCTTTTATGATTAAGAAAATGATCGTGCATTAAGAAAATGATGTTATGCAAATAACAAGGGAAGAGTGAAGGCCAGTGTTGCACACGACTGCAGTCAGCTCTGCAACAAATGAGGAACGAGGACATTTTCTCATTCTGCAGCTCATACAGCACCAACATGCAAAACCTGCAAAACGGTAAAAACAAARGCTATCTAGGGTTAGGGATCTTGTGCCTGTTTCCAAAGACAAGTCCTGCTCTCAGTTCTTGAGCAGGATGACACATTTGAGCACATTTCACACTTGCTTAACATCGCTTAAAACACTGACAGTATAATTCTGCAAACAAGGATGTGTTCAGGACAAAGAATCAGATCTGTTTTAAAAGAGTCAGCCAATTATTTTCCATTTGAAGATTTATTTTCAGTTTGCCGGTGTATCTTCATTGCAGCAAATACATGGTAATTCAGAAATACAATAACAATGTCACATGCATGCAGGCTGGGTTATTTCCTTATAAGCTTTTCGTCTTAAAGGCTTTATATATATGAGAGACAGAGAGAGGAACAGCCACAYACAGGTAGCTGAAAGGGTCTGCAAAAGCCCCTTGATGCATTAGTAATAGCTGTTGTAACATACCCATCTTGGCAACTAGTATTTCAGTAGTAGTGCTGTATGCACCTGAGAAGTAACGGCCAGGCACAATGCCACGGACTGACCTATCCCGGCAGCACACACGAGCCTGTGGAGCAGTTTATGCCTTCACAGGTCCATGCACAGTGAGTTTTACTACTAAACATGTGAGTATGGCACAAGTTTAGCAGTACTGACAACATGCACCTACCTGGTTTTCCAAAAGGCTAACATTGCAYAACCAGTACATTTACATAACTCACACTGGATGCAGGCCAGGCAGCTCCCTGCTGTTGGCCTGCCCTTTCTGGGYGGGAAGGAAGCAGGGAACACCACAGGTAAAGGAGCACAGCCTTGTGAGGGGGCCAGAGGCCTCGAGAGTACTTCTGCATGAGGCAGCAAGCATGCAAACATCATGGAAAACATCATGGAAAACATCCGAAGCACAGGTGCCTGATGAAGGGTATGTGCCTGATGCAGCACGCTCAAAACAATGACAAGAAGCACTCACCTCCCAGCTCTTAGTAGTGGGCTCACTGAAGAAATTGTCTATCATATCAAGCTCCTCCTTCTCCACCACAACAAAACCTTGCTCTTTGGCGTCTTTCCCATATATTTCTGGCGACCATTGAACAAAAAACGTGTATAAATGATCTACCCTGCAGAAAGAGGAGGAGGAAGGGACAGYTGGTCAGCGATACAGGAGCGCAGCACCCCAGCCACACAGGCAAGAGGCCCCTCTACAGCCCCACCGGGCACCGCCCGGCGCTCTGCCTTTCCTCCCCACAATGTCCTCCCATTTGCTATGTCTATTCTCTGTTGCTCTAATGGTAAGGGACTTGCTCAGCCACGTTTGCCAAGGAGCAGTCTTAGCAAGTCTGATCCCTTGCTTTTAGGCGCTGCTTACACACATTGAGTCCGAAAAAGGAAAAAAAAAATCAAAAAAGAAAAAAGAAAAATCACCCTTTAATCACTTAGTTTGACCTCCTGCATAAAACAAGCCACCAGATATCACCACTAAAAGACACACCATGTTTCTAGAGGCCCTCTAAAGCATATTCTTGATGAATATKAACCACAAGCCAATTGGCATCCTGTTGCCTTTGTGAAAGCAATCAGTTACTGACAGTTGCAACAGTTGTAACAGCAGCACTGTATGCATTTCCATAAAAGCARGCAGCACTAAATCACATTACAGGAAGAGATATTATTTGACAACATCCTTAAATAACAATGACATAATTTCTAAGGAAGAAATTTGTTTAGCGTTTTCCTTGAAACTCAACATATACACTAAATATTGAATCAAACACAYGCAATTTCCAACAGAATATACTGGTGAGTCCCCTGTACACAAAGGTGAATTGCTGGAAAACGTCAAATCCTAATTAAAAGAGCAGGTAGAAAGGCAGCAAGGGCTTATGACGCTGGATCTTTCCCCAGTTATGYACCAGAAAAAAATGCCTGGCAATTCTTTGATAAATACAAAACAAGTAAAATCTTACAGACTCCTAGGTGATGTTTTCCACCTGTATTTCAAGTGACTTGGGCTTACAGTATACGCACAAGAGATCTTAAAACACTGTGTTAGATTCTCAGGAATAAGCTCGGCACTATCACTCCTCGCCTGTCCTGCCCCTCCAAACTGCGCACGTTCAGCACATCCAGGAATCCGTGACCAACATTCCCGTTGCTGAGGGCAGAAACGGAACAAACCCAGACACAGCAGGAAAGAAGCACCAGCATAAACTGAAAAACAGGTGACTGCAGAAATGATGATTCTGAAAGGGCACCATTTCTCATATAATTTTAACATTACATTACAGTGATATTTCTAAATTACTAAATTGCAAAAAAAAAAAGAGATAATTTTTGAAACAAACACAGTGACTGAGAAACTTCAACAGCAACAAGAAATCCTATTAACAAAAATGGGAAAAAAGACATAAACTGTCAGGTTAGATGGGAAGGAAATGTGGTTACAAACAAGTTCATAGCAAAACACAGAGGGCACAGAACTTTCTTTTTTTCCCCCCTAAATCAGGTCAGGAGGCAAAAAGAGCTGTTCAGGTTACAGCTACAGGAGGAACTGAATCCTGGTAGTAGTTATAACCACATCCAKGGCCCGGAAGCCAGAACAACACAGAGTAGATGCACAGCAGTGCATTTAGTAGATGCACAGGCTAGATGCACAGGGCACTGAAGCAGGCTGCTTCCGAACAGCAGAAGCAACCACCAGGGACACATATCAGACAACTGCACACGATGTTTTTCTCATAAAAAACGTCCTTTAAACCAGAAGGTGCCACACGGCAGGGGAGGCTCCAGGTTCTTCATAACTCCGCGACACGGGGCCGTCACCGGCGAGCCTGGGGCTACCCCAGCTCCGTGGGGCTGTGGGGCCGTGGGGCTGCACAGCGCATGTACAAAGGCTCTAGTTCAACCGCAGCTCCTGGCAGCAAAGCAGGAGTCCTGTGATCTTTACAGCTTCAGTACCAAGAGGTCAGCCCCGATGATATAATGACAATCCTTCCCGAACAAGGGCTGCATACAGGCAGCGAGCTATACACGCAGACAGGTTTTCCTTATGTTCCGCCTGTGCAGCTCGAGATCCTGCTTATCAGGAGCCACAGAGCACTTAAGAGTAATTCACAAGGAGTCTAAACCGAAGCACCTTAGGGCTTAGTGCTACTTACCCCATTCCATAAGAGCGTGGGGAGGGGTGGCCAAGCATCAGCAACACCCGAACCAGCAGCCCTCGACGCGTCACCCCACGCGCAGCGGCAGCACGGATGGACAGACGGACAGACGGGTGGGCGGACAGACTCCGGCTACGCCGGCTCCAGGTCCTGTCAGACCTCAGCACAGCCGCACTCGGCTGCAGCCCGCGCGCCCCTGGCCTGATGCCGCCCAACCAGGGTTACAGCACCAAGAGAAAGGGCAGCAAGAGCTCCCCAGGCCTGGCCAACAACCTGGACTGGAAACCGTGGCTGGAAAAAGGGGAAGTAAAGCTCAAACCCTCCTCATATCCCCGCCTCGAGAATGCCCCTGCTCCCTCAACCACGTGCATTCCACAGGACTCATGCCCTCTCAGCAGCACGATCTTTTATATCAGTATCAGTGCAAAACAGACATTTATAAAACAAATCTACTAACTAAGTTTATATTAGAGAAAATGGACAAGACTTGGTTCTCGGTGGAGGAACCAGTCAGTGCTAAAATAAGGAAATTCTGTCAGGACACGCTTTTCCAAACAAAACAATCCTGTGCTAGTCTCCCTGTAAGACCTTTAGGAAATCTCCATGTGACACAACGGCCAACCCATCTCTACTCCAAAAGAATTAAAATAGAAAGTCTACGTAAATACCCTTAAACACAAATTCAAGYAGTAAAAGCACTCTCAAGCGTACCCTCCCACACTGTGAGCTGCACCCCTTGCAAGACTTTGCAGCAAAAGGACGGGCCTCTGCATCGCTGTCCAACAGCACGCGCGTCTCCCTGCTCCAGCGACCCTGACCAGACGCTGCCCTGTGCATAGGGCAGCAGTCACTATATGGGGCGGCCGCTGATGCGAATCTGGGCCCATCCCGTGCCCAAGGGCCCTGCTCCCGCAGCTGGAGCGCCCCGGGACACTCATTAACCCAGCGCTCGGGGCTGGCAGCGACCTGCTGAGGCCGCGCTCAGACGGAGCCCTCCTCAGAAAGGAGCACTGGGGCAGCAGCAGGCACACGGAAACAAGATCCAAGATACACTAACAGCCTTGAAAAAAAAAAAGAAGTCCAACAGTTTCCTTCCTGCATTAATGYTTTCAAAGCCCTCCATTACAAAGATATACAAGCACACATACTTTTTAAAGGAGGAGAACTCCTCCTCCCCCTYGCAAGGTTACCGCAGCCTGCCAAGGCCATGGGAGCACCGGGCTGCTGACCCAGGGGCAGCGGCTCTGCTGGGGGCGGCCGCTGCGGGCCCGGGCTGGAGACGCAGCCGCTGCCGCAGCTGCCTGAGGCAGCTCCCTTGGCAGCACAGGGAGCAACCCTACCCACAGCGAGAGATGCAGTCAAAGGAAACCAGAGCAAGGTGCAACTAATGTTACAGATTACAGATATGGATTATGGATATTCACAGTTTCCTTCCTTCTATGTGTGTGTGTGTATGTGTGTGTGTATATATACACACACACACACATACATATATACACACACACATATGTGTATATATATATAATTATAAAATAATATATATATATAAATTAATTATATATATAAAATAATTATATATATATATATATAATATATACACATATATATATATGTGTATATATATATAYACACACACACATACATACACAGATACAAAGATAGTAAACAGTTCCAGAAGCCCCTTTCTGCACCGGGCAGAAAGGCGCTTTATGGTCAATGRGAGAGGAGTTAGTCTGATACTTTTCTACGTGAATACAACCTGCATTGCTTTGCAGAATTTTAATGGACTGCTTATAGACATGGTAAGTACTTTGATGGACTGTCTCAAGAAGACGCTGCAAAGCTGTCACAAGCGGGCAGCTGTCCATAGCTGCTGTCCACAGCTGCTGTCCGTGGCTTTAGCTTTCCCAGGATGGAGAACCGATAACCCTGTGATTTCTGGTAGAAGTCCTATTACCAGCGGGAAGSAAGCTGAACATTTCATCTCGTGATGTATCGCAGAGTTTAAACTAAACTTAACTGACTTCTTGCAGAAAGATACATCTTGTAATGAAATGAAAGAATGGGTCAMATCCTAAATCCCTGCTCTCTGCTCTGGGGCTTTTTCATGCACCTCCATGCTGTTAAAATAGATATATATATATGAAAAGTACCAAAAGCATCTAATCTCACTGTCTTTACCACTGAAGCTTTATTAAGCACAACACATGTATCCACGAAGATGCAGCTTCCCAGATGCAGCTGTCCCAGCTGGACTAACCCTCCCAGCCTCCCCTGCCATTCAGCTTCCACACCGCTCATCTGCTCAACACTTGGGAAACAGAAGGAATAAGCGTATAATCTCCCACCACGGGGAACAAACTGAAAATAAGCAMACAAAGAGAAATAATCTGAATTTTTTAACATGAAAAAAAGACATAGATGAAAACTGACTGCACGTTAACGGGATGCCACCGAATTATCACAAGTTCAGACTAACGTCAGAACTATGATCACTGATTTTCCTAGAGGTCAGACCCAAGAGTTGCTCTAAKATACTTTCCATTCCAGAAAGGGAAAGTATGGGAAGGGAAGGGAAAGGAAAGAAAGCCTTCCCCTGACAGAGAAGGGCCAGGAATTTGATTCCTTGCAGCTAGAGAAATTCAGTGTGGGATTTACCTGGACAACCACAGGCTTCCACCTTGCTTTGGTTATATCAAAACTCATTATACATACGTATACATTATTCATACGTATACATGGCATAAAGCCTCTAACTGTATTTTATCATGAAGGAAGGGATGAATTTCCCATGTGGGCCTAAAGGCTGGGGCAGCCACATCCATTCAGTGAGGAGCAGCTCCCCTGGTTACGCCAAGTCCTTTGCTCAGGTGAGGCAGCAATTTTGGCACTGGCACCTTTTAAAACTCCTTGCCCCCCTGGCTGCGTGTGACACCTTCAGCCACAGGGGAAAAGTGAGMTTTGTCTCTAGGAAGGGATATACACTCAAATGTTATGAGCCCGAGGTGCTTTTCGACAAGCCATGYGCTGCAGCGTACCTTTCCCGAGGAACAGCGAACCAGTACTCCGGCTGCTTGATCTTTTTGCTGTACTGCTGGGACACAGCAGTGCTCTGCGACGCGAAGGACTTTCTCATGGGCTTGCCCACTTTAATGCACAGGAACATTGGAGGCGTCTTGCTCTTCTCCTCTCTTGAAGGAAGCATGTCTGCGCGGGAGAGACGACAGAGGCGCTCGGTGCGCGGCCGCTGGAAGCTCCGGCGGGGAGCCCGCGGCGGCAGCAGCACCACGTGCAGGCGCCACACACCACTCCGCAGGAAGGTGCAAGGGCTGCAGCTCCCGAGGAATAGGGAGCTTAGTACATGGAGCTTAGCGCCGTTTTGCTGCAGGCTGCGGCCCCCCTGGCTGCAGGGCGGCCTAAGGACAGCGCTCTCGGCCAGGCGGGCGATGAGGGCTGTAACCCCGCGGAGGCACCGCCGCGCAGCCGCGGCGCACGGGGACGTGCCAGGGCCTACTCCTGCCACCTGGCTGCCCCCCGGCCAGGAGCGGCTCACACCAAGCTGCCGCTGCCACCAGGAGTCCCCATTAACTACAGCCCCCGTCACCCCGAACGTGGCAAGCGTCGCTTCAGGGGAATGCACGCTGCCGTCTTTTTCCCCCCACATGGGGAAAGATCAGCAGACACCACCAGCAAGACATAAACCCCTCCCAAAAGAGGAGAAAACCCACTTGAAGATAAACTGTTCTTAAAGTAAAGACTTCTACGTAACTGTCCCGCACTGCAGTGTGAATGAGGGCCCTGAGCTGGCTGGCTCACTGAGCCAGCAKCAGAGGAGCATCAGCGGGGGCACCCAGAGGCTCCTGGCAGAAACAGCACCATGTGAGCGGGTGTCTGAACTGAGATTTCGTTCTGTTGCATGTTTTCCAGCAACACCCTGAATTTTAACTGTAAGAACCCCAAAACCCATCACGGGTCAGTCACGTGAGACTCTACACAGAAGCCTATTTACTGCTTCTTTGGGAACATCCATAGCACAAAAATGTAGGTAAGAATACTTTGGAGTTCCCTTTAGAGCAGTGTACTGCTCTGGACTTCAGCTCTCAGAAAGAAACAGACTGACTTCACTGAAGAAACAGAATCAACCAACACCAGGTAAAAATTCCTGGGTCAGATGTTCCTATCAATACTGCAACTGGATGACATTTTATTGTCCTTCTTAAAAGCAGCACACCYAGGGCAAGCACCCACAATCAGTCATCACTAAATATGAAGCAGGCAAGTTACTTGTCAAGCTAGAAGCTTAAGACTTTTTTTCTTCTAAAAAGTCTAAGTTAAGACCTTTTTTCTTCTAAACAGTAGAAAATACAAAAATATAGAGAGAGTTTATATAAATACATATATTTTTACGAGAGTAAAAAAGGACCATGTATCACAGAAAGACGAACCTTAGAGCACAAGGACCAATTTCAAGGTTACCATCATAAYGTTGGTCACCTCTCAGAGGAAACAGGGATAACCAGAGACCTACCTTCAATTGGCACTTGAATTTTCTGCAGCAGCCACAGTCTGATTTCTGATTGATTGTCTATCTGTGTTTCTTGGCAGGTCTTGTCTACAGCTGGTACTAACGAAGAGCCCACAGACTCTTTCAGATCCTTGTTCTCTGCTGCTGCTGAGCTGACTTCTAGTGAAGGTGCTTTCCTTTCAAAACAGCAGGATTCAAGCTCCATACTTTTAACTGTATGGACTTCAGTAGCCTGGGACTTCGAACTGCTAAGTGTAAGGTCTATGCCAATTGCTTTATTGTTTTCACCTTTCCGGATTTCAGCCTTGTACAAGTCTTCAGATGACTGAGACCCATTCCCATCCTTATTGAGGTAAAATTCAATCAGTTTATCTTTCTCTAGCTCTTTCTTAGTGTCCAATGCAGTCTCCACCTTACCTGTTGGGGAACTGACACATTTGTTTACTTCTGGAATAACATCTTGCTTCTCACAGAGCTCTAAGTCTAAGTCAGCTTTGGGTTCAATACTGTCCTTTTTTTCCAAGGAATCAACTGTCAAGTGCTCCTGGACTTCTGTGGTGGGTTTGGTTACCTGCTGCTTCGTTCTCCCCAACTCCCTGGGGTCAGGGAGTCCTTCCATTACTGAGCTTTTGCTGTTCAACCCTCTGTCCACACAAGATGACGTCTCCTCCAGCTCAATGAAATCATCCTCTCCTCCTCCCAGGAGGGACTTCTCTTTGGTTTTGATGTCTGACACGTTCTTTTCCCCAGAAAGCTCCTTGGCATGTGGCTCTGCAGCAGACTTCTCCAGATGCTCAGTGGCAGTGATGTTGTTGGAAAACTCCAATGATCTTGACTTGATTGAGCCCGTACTCTCAGAAGACTGAAGAACTTCAAAATCAGCAGACTTTTCTGTATCCAAAGGCTTTATTTGTTTGGCACCCAGAGCAGTGGATGAAATGCCATTCTGCTGCCTCTTCTCCTTGCTCAGGGATTTGAATTTGCTGAAAGGATTGATATCTTTCTCAGATGAAAGGTCTTCCCATTCTCCTGGCCTGTACAGAGGACAAAGATCCTTTGGTATGTCACTGTCAGGGAAAATGCGGATGTACATGGGATGTTAAAAGCAAAATGGAAAACAAACAAAATGGAAAACAAACATAAATAATACATCAACTTAACTTAAGCTCTGAAACTCAACTAAAAACATTTTCTCCAAAATAAAAATACATCGATGGAAATAAGTGACATTTAAAAAGAAAATGAAAAACAAACAACAGATAAAAATGCAGGAGGTGCCGTTCTGCAGAGCTGGCCATCCAGGTGAAGAAATGGTACATATGTAGGAACAATGTGCAAATCATCAGAAATTCAGTAACCGAAAACCACGGTCTACASACTGGCATTTCTGTGAGCCCTGAAAATGGCAACTCAACTACCTGCTCCTACACTCAAACTTTGTCACGAGGCTCTCAGTACCGTCCCAACAGCACAAAGCAGGGTCCAAATSTAACAGGCCTCACTCCCACTGAAACTATGAAAATTTCAGCAGAATTTCCCCATGAAATAATCCTAGAGATCAGAGAGCACACACGCCTATCCTGCCACCATCGCTTTTCAGCACTCGTTTTTATTGATCATCTCCACATTTTGCTTTTCTTGTTAATGACTTAATTCTCTTTTACTGCCCCAGATTTATTTTTTTAAAGGAAGAACAGCACCAGTTTGCCTTCATTTCTTTGCTTGCATTTTCTTCCTCTGACATGTTTTATCCTCCTATACTAAACCTCACTCTTATTTTTTTCCCATTTCCCTCTCTCTTAATGCCAATTTGTAAACATAAGTGCAGAAAAGAACACTCCTTACGATGGCAATGCATCTTTAATCTTCATGTGAGAAATATCATTGTAGAGAGCTATMGAGACAACCTCCTCCATGGGGCAGATGAGCCCATATTCTTCACAGCCATTCTCAATTACCAGAGGATCAGACTTATGTGGGTCAAACATGATGTTGTTTGGAGTTACTATCATGACTCCTCCAACTACACCCTAAAAGAGAAGAARTAAGAGTTAGCACATCTCATGCAAGAGATTTATGATTTGGTATAGGCTTTTAGGGTACCAGCCCAGAAAAATCTCTCTGCCTTTTCAATCCCAAGTGAGGCAGTGCTTCCTAATGAAACATTTTGGTTTCCAATTGCATCAGGTAAGACATGGCAAGAAGAGTCAAGACAGACTTCTTAGTGGCTCCCCAAGTCACCAAGCACAAAAAGCACAGAGCAAGAACATCTGAGCTATTCAGCTTCCAGCGTTGGCTGCTAAAAGCGAAAGCTTTAGTTTGTTAATCAATGTCAGACAAGATAGGAAGGGTAGGTTAAAAATAAAGCAACCTTTTACTYTGGCTTTGGCCAGCTTCATATGATGTGTTAATTCTTATGCCTATGGCACACTCAGTGGCAGCCTTATCTGTGGGAATGACAGGGTCATAATTCTAAATTCCACATCCTTTTGATCTAGTCTTCAAGGTATACAGACAAAGAACATTTCTATAGGATTTTACCTAATATTAGGCTACTTCTSTGGTGCTACTGATCTAAAAATATCATACTCAGCTGCAGAAGTTGTATTTAATTCTTCAGAATTTGCTCTAGCCATGTATTTCGTCAGAGGCAGCATCAGCTGTTATTCAACATGACTTCAACCTGTGACATCTCACAGTGTTTGGAGGTTTTCAAATGAGGTTTCTAATCTGTTGTTCGTGCACATTCCCTCCYGAGATGTGGTGCAAAATTCACCGAACCAACCCTGAAGCCGTACTCTAACCACGAGACCTGCCAGAGAGGAGTCACAGGTGACCCAGCTCAGCCTACACCAGCCGATCACATTAATGTTCATCACCCAAGGTCCTGTGCAAGGCCAAGGCACAGGCAGCTAGATGACCATGAGGTTTTTTATCTGGGAGAAAAAAAGCTTTTTATAAAGCAAAGTGTGCATGTACTTCCCAYATGCCTCCTCCTGTATGACTCATGTATGCCTAGCAGGTTTGTATTTGGATGGAAAAGACTGATTCAAGCGCAGAGCCTTTTCCCACAGGTACACACTTGGTTCAGGCAGGATAGCAAAGCATCAGCAGGTTGTGCTTTCTATCCAGGCACAAAAAAAAAAAAAAAAAAAAGAAGAAAAAGGACATGGATTCTGGCTACACAGGAAAAGAAGGTGTCCCACTTCTCACCGTCAGGACTGCAGGTGACTTTTTCCATCCTGAAGCCATAAAACCAACCCTCTGTCTTTTGGACCCAGCAAACAGCGTCCAGCAGAGCAACGGCGCTGCTGTGATTCATGTGTGGGAAAGCAAGTGACTCTGCTACGTTTTACAGAATAGCAGATTATCAACATTGCAGAGTGGCTTTAAATGCAGGCTGCACACACTCAATGCCGAAAGAAGCCAAAAACTTYTAAGTGCATTTTTCTTAGGATGAAGATCACAAAACAAAGGGAAAAGATACTTGAAGGACAGTGGTTAGCATTTCCAGTGCTGTAGATTCCAGAGAGCTTGAAAACCAAAACATGCAAATCTCTAACTCCAGTGGGAATCAGTAAGAGCAGATGTATAAAAGCAGACAGCTCAAGATGACAAACTCCGTGATCTTTAGAAGAGATGGAGGTTGCTCGAGCTCCATGACTTCACTTTTAATAAAGTTGCTTCCAGTTAAGGGTTGSAATGCCAGTGTGAACATTACTTACAAGAGGACATGCAGAGGAAGGAAAAGAAGAAAAAAATAGAAAAGAAAAAGAAAATAAAAGCCATACCATGCAATATTTGTGCTGGGGGTTACGTGACATTCATTTGCAAGTGCAACATGCAAGTATTTGGAAATATTGCTCTGGAACAGTTGAAATTTAGGTTAAACTCATAAATGAAATAGATAGGAATGTACTCATTTTATAAACCATTGCACAATTTGACAGAACTGGACACTAATCCTGACACGTCCGAGCTCTGAAATGCATGTTTTYGCTGTGCAAGGATTATCTTGCAAAGCACTCTGGAGGAGATACTTCTAGCAGGACACTAAGGGAATGAAGACAGGCAGAAGAAAGGTATTCTTCCATAACAGCTGTGTGACAGATACAAGTACTTAGTAAATAAAATAATACTGCATTTTACCAGTATAGTATTGACAGACAAAGCTGCCTTAATAATAGCTTTTTTTGCAGATGTGCATATGTTTGGCTCCCCAGCYACTCTTCTCTCTCCCAAACCAATTTTGCTTTTAAGGCATCTCCATCAATGGCCAAGGGAGCAGGTTTCACCCACCTTGCCATCCGTGAAGTAGCGACAATTCATTTTTAAAAACTTGACAACCACAGGCTCATCCTCTTCTGACGTAGAGGACAGGACTCTCTCCACTGGCTTGAAGGCCTTTCTTGCCAAATCAGCATCCTTAAAAAAGGAAAACCTCAGTGTATGGTTGCAGGACCAGTGTCATATACCCTTAGGCTTACAGCAACTAAAATAACAACCTCTAGCAACTGTTTTCCTTTTGCTTAAGGAGAAAAAGTTACGGTCAGGCACGTACACTTCATGCAATAGCCTGTGTGGAAGAAAAACTTGAAACATTATCAAAAATCCTCCATAAAAATAACATGCAACAAATACACAAACAAAACCCAGAAATCCTGAGGCAACTCGGCACCATGGGGTTGTCCCATTAGGCACTTGCGTGGGACGAGGTGAGGCCAGTCCCGCCACGCGCCCCACACGAAGCCCCCGTCACGGAGCGCAGCCCCACAGCAGGACAGCAGCGCCCTCCGTATTCCCATGCACGCTCCATGTTTCCCCACAGAGAAATAAATCTCCAGGGGGAAGCACTAAATGCACGCCGCGTCCCACTTTCTGTGCATTAGAAACAACAGGCTACTTCTTTTTAAGTTCTGGGGCACGCTGGGCCCAGTTCAACTAAGTTTCCATGAGCGGACAGAGCCCTTCGTTTCAGCTATTTCAAGCAATGGCAAATTTGTCACTACAGCTCATTAAAGCTGATCAATATTAAAAAATATTGATCAATATTAAAAACATTACCTATGAATGGTAATCTCACAAGCAGTTATTTACACAGCCCTGAATCACTGCTTCAAAATCAGACCAAATTATTTTGAAAGTGTAAGATGAGTGAACGGGTATTTCACTTACAGGCAGTTTATCATATTCAGCGTCTGACGACGAAGGAGAAACGGGAGCAGCAGGGCTGAAGGACAGCCTCCCAGCACTTGCTTCTGGCACAAAGAGAATCTGAAAGAAAAAGAAAAAAACACACCCTTAGGTGGCAAAGAGCCCACCACTCACGTTCCACTACAGAGACGACCCAGCACCCGTCGCTCCTGGCTGCACCGCGCTGCTCAGCAGCTCCCTGCTCTGGGTCCTCCGTCACCAGCCACGGAGCAAACGCAGATCCCACCACAGAGCCTTGGTCTACATTCTGTGGCAGCACACGCAAGAAAACAAAGTATTTTCCCCTGGGCAAGAACCTCCTTTTTTTCCTAGGTTACATTCCAAGCTTCTGCACTAACTTTCACTAACTTGTAACAGCAAATAAATAAATAAATAAATAAATAAAATTAAAAAAAATAAAAATAAAAAAAAGATCCAGCTCTTCTTGAACAGGGAGCAGGATTTTTAGCCCTAGCAGCTTCACTGCTTCACTCCAGGCTGCCTGTTTCCAAATGCACTATTTTAGCATTTTGTACTTAATTTCAAGAAGCTCTTACATTAGTACAGACGGATTCCTACAAAAATCTAATGCTTTGTTTGGCTTTTTTATAATCTATAACAGCAGATGCCCCAGTTTTTCACTTGCAGTACAGCCTTGGACATTCCAAAGAAAACACACCTGAAGTTTAAGAAAACAAACAACAAAAAAAAGACAGTGTGTTTTAAACTAAACGCAGTGAAAGAAAAATACAGTTTATCCCAGCCTTTGCCTCCTGCACGAATTTAGGCAAGTGACCCCAGCTCAGCTTGCCCACGTGCAAACTAAAACTAAAAACTCTCCTTCTCTGGATGTCTTCCCAACTCGCCTGGCTGCCGCCCTGTGCCCCGTGTTCCGGGTGTCCCTGCTGGAGCAGGGGGTTGGACTAGATGATCCCTAGAGGTCCCTTCCAACCTCAGCCATCCTGTGAGTCTGTGATTCTGTGAACTAGCACAGTTCAGCCKTTGCCTGTCTCTGGATCAGAACAGAGATCTGCTCATTATAAACCAGGTGTTAGCCCTCCTATTTCCATTACTTGAATCTCTCCAAGAGTCCATCACGTATCCATCTATTCTCATCTTACAGGCAACTGCCTCTAATATAAAAGCCAAAGAGATGTTTCAATTACTGTGTCTAACCCTTTAATGCATTAGCCAGCATTTACGTAGGCTTTTCAAGGAAGCAGCTCTCTTGCAACAGATACATTCCTCTTGAGCTTCTGAGTAATCTTAAAGCTTTTGTGACAGCAAATAGATAACAAAAAACAGCCAGAGCRATAACAAAGTCCCATTCCACCTCCCCACTCCACCTCTGCCCGGGGAAGGACCMAGTGAGTTTCCATTTGAGAGATTTAAATTACTGTAAAGCAGTAAATGTCTTCAGATACAGAGCAAACAATCAGGTTTCAGGTATTAAAAACTRTAAGAGATTTACCTGTCCTGGAACAATCGTGTGTGTAAAAAGTTTATTGAGTTCCACAAGCTTGTTTGGCGTGATGTTGAACTTTARTGCTATGCTGTTTATAGTGTCCTGATTTCCAGCCTGAAAAAGAGTTGAAGCTTAAGATATGGTAGTGACTTTATACAGCACAGCAGCTGAACTAAAACTATCTCATGGACAGTTTCCAGGCAGTAGATTGGATAATATAACTCATCTCCTGTTTAGCAGACATATTTTTCCGTGGAAAATATGTGGTAAGTCAATATCAAGGAAAAAAAAATAATCTCTCATGCTATACAGTAAACAGAGCACAAATGTGCTAGAGATTTCCCTCTCATTTTGCTATAAATCTTAGCCGCAGTGTCCTGGAATCGGCAGAGCACGGAGCCCTGCGTGGGAAAGCCCATTGCCTGTTCCTGAGTTCAGGTCCTGTCACAACMGTCCCTGCTCTGCTCCCGGGTGCTCCGGACACCCCTCGAGTGGCCCTCTCSATGGCACAGGCTGCCCAGGGAGCTGTGGAGTCTCCTTCTCCGGAGATCTCCCAAACCCGCCTGGATGCMRYCCTGTGCCCCRTGCCCTGTGCCTGCGTGGGCAGAGGACTGGGCTAGATGATCTCTAGAGGTCCCTTCCAACCCTAAGGAACCGTCTATCTGGTTCTGTGGTTCCCTCTGCACAGAGCCAGTCCTCGGTGKTGTGGGGCAGGATCTGCTTGCGGTGCTTCTGTGTAGAGATGGGTGTCTCTCAACCACGTCAGGGGTCAGCACATTGCAAAGAGCAGCCATCCCAAGCAACCCTATGGAAGAGGAGTCTTCCTCAGGGAAGGGAAAAAAATAGGCAATTAGTAATTAGTCTATTAAGGGGCCATGTTGCAGAAGTAAAGCTAGGAGAAGCCATCGTGAGGATAAGCAGACCAGCCAGGCTGACTAGTGGTTCTGGGTTTCAGCCTCTCTCCTCACGCAAGGATATCTGGAGCAATCTCTACCAAGATACACGCAAGTTACAGTGAACTTTCACTTGGCATTTTCAGTTTGGTGCCATTTGAGCTCCCAAGCTCAACAACCTCACTTTCTAAACACAGAAATGACCAAGCCGCACACCAATACTTACAGTGTATTCTATGGTGCCATGGGGTTTCTGGGAAACCATTTTCTTCTCCTTCTTTTCATTGGTTTTGTTTTGATTGTCATCTAGAGAGGAAAAAAACATCATTCAAGTTACTGACTTTCAATACATTTGTTCATCAGCACGTTTCGAAGGAGACTCACAGGATGTGCTAACTGCATCTGTGAACAGGAACAGGAAGACAGGTCAAAAATACATATTAGGCCCTGCAGGTGCATCACAGGACAAGCCAAACGTCATCAAGTGCTGCAGATCTAACAGCCACTCAGAAACCTGGCAATGACAATTGCCACCCGCTCCTGCATCGCTCCCGACCTGTTTCCATGTCTGGCTCCCAGCTCGCTGCGTTCCGGCCGCTCCAGCAGGCGCCGGCTGTGACCAGGAGCCGTCAGAGCCCGCACAGGAGCCAGCGCGTGGGCCGGCACCACACGGAGAGGGTGCGAGCGGCTCCGGCACCGCATGGACAGGGCGCGAGCGGCTCCGGCACCGCACGGGCAGGGCGCGAGCAGCTCCGGCACCGCACGGGCAGGGCGCGAGCGGCTCCGGCACCGCACGGGCAGGGCGCGAGCGGCTCCGGCACCACACAGAGAGGGTGCGAGCGGCTCCGGCACCGCACGGGCAGGACG